AGTAAAACCATATCATCAAACTTAATCCGGTTTGTAAATTCACGGATTACTTTGTTTTGGTCAAGCAAAATCGTGTTAGGTAAGGGAAAACTAACGATCGGTACGCTCATGTACGGGCATTTGTGGATTTGTATCTCTGTCTGGCTGATTTAGTTGACACACATTCCGACAGTACACAGTGAAGTGAGTGCCTTGGTTCAGCAAGTATTGTTAATGCTAGTCTTGCGATTACCAAAGTGAGTGGATAAGATTATATCAACCAAAGTCAACGGTGATGCACCGCTTCGCTGCGACAAGTGTTTTAACGACCTGGAGATTAATCTGAATTCCTTGCCGAATACATCAAGAAAAAGTACTGGTTATCAGTACGCCCAGTTTAGAAGAACACACGCAGTGCCAAAGTGAAGTTGCAAATCATATGGTACAGAAGAAGCTCATAGGCGTGAGGCGTAGAATGATAACCTCCGAATTTTTGTGAACGTTTCTTTTATATGATGTGAGCAAGATAAATCGTAACTAAACCTAACACCCAAGTAGTCTATGGATGTCAAAAGGGCAACTACTTTCCATCAATGTTCAGTTCCGGGCACTGCTTGATAAATAGTTTATATCAATCTCCCCAGTGCAGTGATTAAACGATATCATGATATTTTGACACGTCAAGTGGCAGCTCGCGGGCCTTTGATCAGAACGTGAGATCGTTAAGAATATTTGGCAATCTGACGGAAAAAGCAGGGCAATATCTTTTGCGTACTTCAGCCACGTTGCCTTTCCCGGAACTGGTATTGAACTCAAATAATTGGAAAATAGTAATGGTGACGGGATAACCCACTGAAGAACACCGGTGTTTGTGATCAGGATCGAGGAGATTCTGCCTCCAAATCGTTCAATCTGAGTACGACCGGCAAAATATTACCTTAACACAAGAACATGGAAGTGTGTATTCCAACACCGAGTAGGTATTCAACATTAACTAGCGGTTTACGTAGCTGAATGCGTAGCTGTAGTCCAGAAAACAGACTCTGGTAGACTTGACTCAATTGTGCAGTGATGACAGAACCGAGTGCACAAGACAGGGTACTGTGTCTTGGGCTACCGTCGATCTGCGGTAGACAAATTGAAGGGAATCATTTGGCTGTTGTTGTGTCGTCGTCATCATCTCAAGCATACTTATTTTCAAACATTTTTAAAGCTACAGAAATACAAGTGGTTGGCCGAGATTTACTCGATGTTTTTAGTTATTGCTGTGACATTGACGCCTTTCCAAATGTCGGTAATGCTATTTTGTTGAATGCGCAATTTATGTGAAGTAGCCAGAAGTTTGACCTGGGAGTCAGCACATTCCTTGAGGACAACAGGCGACAGTCTGTCTGAACCACGCTTTATCTGAGTGAAGCTGCTTCAGTAACTTTTGTACAGTGCCGCTGTCGACAGGGGCAGTGTGTCAGCCAAAAATGTACGCTGGCTAAATGATGATTCACAGATCGGATTATTGTAGCAGTCAAAAGAAGCCATGGTTCAGTTTCACCACATCTACGACGGAGGTTAATCAAGGCAGAGTAGACCCGCTTAGTTGTTTTAACATCTTCCAGATTTCATGACAGTTACTGTTCCCCAGTATAGCCTGACAATACACGTTGCTGAGATAGCGCAACTCCTCATTTATAACGACAGACAGTGACTTTAATGAAGTATTGTTAGCCATTGAGGTTGAGCGGTTCGCACTGGTACATCTTGGCTTGCAATTCAAAACTATTCAACTAATCTATTGAGAGGCGAAGCAAAGCAAAACTTCCTTGGATGCGCACTCGGAATTGTTGGTGTACATGATGAATCCACCGCTCCTGTTACGGAAGATGCAAAGGAGATCGACCGGATGACACCTGAAATATTGTACCGATAGAAGTGCTTCATCCACCGCGTGAAGCCAGGTCTCTTGTATCAAAATGACACCTAGCTGCGAATATTCTCGGGATTTGGGGGTGCTTGTTAGTTCATCCATTTTCCATAAAAGCGAACGGGTAGTTTTCGGTAATAAGATAGGTGTGTTCATGTTTCTTAGTTTTTAATCCGAAGAGCAGCCTTCCACTCAGTGCGGTGTTTTCTGGCATAATTATTACTCTCCTAGGAAATTGGTTTCAACGTACTCCTTATAGATTGGCCGTTGGAAAGGGCTCAGCTTGTGAGCGCAGAAAAACACTGCGATTTCAAAGTATCACGCGTATAGATCAACATGATAATGATTGTAGCCGGATAAAAGGAAGTGACAAGAGGATAGTTGGTATAAAGACAAGTATGTGTGCCCCATGCTGAGGCTGATGCTGCATTCTTGATGCTTCTCTACCACAGTTGAGTTAAACCAACATAAACTTAAACTAGGTCCTTTTAAGCCGGAGACACTTCATTCCACTTTATTTGCTTTGTTCTGTCCACCTGAATAATCTTCTATTAACTGGCCACGTTGCTTACGGTAATTGTGGTTATCTTCGTTTACTTTATTGCCTTTGTAGCATTTTTGAGTCACTTCTGGACCTTTTGTACTTATCGTGGATTCATTGCTAACCAACATACTTCATATGCTAATTTAGGGAAGAGTTATGTCTGCATAGCCGTATTCTTTAATAGATATGTTTTAATTGATAATGTCATTTCAAGTGATAGGCTGTTGTTTGGCATCCCCGGTGTGGCTGCATTTGCTGTGCATGTTGACAAGGTGCCTACCTGTCTATTACCCACTACCTCGTCCATACTGGCTCCAGGAGACAGTTGGTCGTTGCTGGAGAGGACCGGGTGTGTAGGTCCTTGTGGTCGTGCTAGGCTCGAAGAGTGGTTCCATGCAGTCAGTGTGGAGCGGACTACGGTCCAGCCACCGCCTTGTGTGCGCCTGATTCCCAAATACAGCGTGCTTGTGTTTGCCTGTGAAGGAGTGTGAGCCGACTCCATTGATGAAACGTGGATCCCATCCACTTGACCCTTGGTCTCATTCCGTTGGGTTTACACTGGATATGGGGTGTTTGGTTGGAGCTGTGGGTGGTGCAGCGCAAGCCACCCATGGTCCCTCTGTAGGTACAGGCTTCCTGTGGCTGGCCACCGTGACAGGCAAATCCGAAACCGGATGCCGCCAACCATGTGTGCTAAAAATTCCACAGAAAGTAGCAGTACAGGGTGGCCAAATTTGAAGCCCGCGCAGTGAATATTCCGCTGCAGTTTGTTCTGCTTCGACTCAAGGTATGCTGGGGTTGGTTCCACTTGTCCACTGTGTTTCTTCAATCTATCAGATAACTCGTAGTGTCAGGTGGGATTTGTCGATAGGTGATTACCTGATAAACACTGGCACTGGGAACAAAACCTCGTGGCTGTACTAATAAACGAAGACACAGCAGGTGCGCCTTAAAACCGGTTCAGAAATGCGCGGAAAAACCTATTCGTAGGTTGCTATGTCCCTCATCACTATCAAGACAATGGACCCACCTTTGCAGGCAACTAATCGACCACCTTGCTCAAGCCGATTTTCCTGAGATTACTAAACATGTATAGTATGTAATTTGCTTGTTCGCTGGCGTCGAGCCACATCAGGTTGCTAGTTAAGAAGTTGGTGTAGCTGTGTCCTCTGGTTGTCTTTTCTTCACTTCTAGTCTGACGGTTGAGACAGCCATAACTATTGTGAACAGAAAACATTCGCTTGCATTTCCAGATGACCGGGTCATCGGCTTAGAGGGGCAGTAGAGTAGGGTCCATTGAGCCACGCGCTCACTGATGACTTTTTCGACTGTTAGAAAGAGATGCTTTATTAATGGGGTCAGACCATCGTGCAGCTGATATAACATAGTTGGCGCAGATCGATGAAGTAGAACTGGCAGAGTGACCATTTCATGTAACCACAAATCGTGCGAACAATTGCCCAAAACGAATTTACGATCATATTCGGTGAATATTTCGTAATTGTCGAACTCAAACTGAGTCTGATGAGCATAATGACAAAGCACATCTTTTCTTTTAATTACTTTACAATGCCGCTTTGCTACGTCACCGCAATCTGTGTTTAAAAACCGAACCCGAGCTCCATTGTTTCCTCCATCAGAGGATACTTAAACATTAGATGTCGTTACATACTACGAATGTCATTTCAGAGGTGTCCGCATCATAGCTTACATGTTTGACATCATTGTAACATCGAGTTTCTGAGTGAAGAGCCATATGCCAAAGCGGATTCAGCGCAAATTTTCTCTAGCTATCTCGCCATCACGATCTCTCCATGTAAGGCGCCAGCTGTTCGATAGAGTATCCCCTATTTGATCAGCAAACAAACAATGTTCAACATTCGGTTTCGTTTCGCCCTAACTTCCACTAGTTTGCATCCGCTGAAACAGTTGCAATCTAACCGGCAGCGTCGGCTTTGTATACCGTATGACAAGTATTTCGACCTCAAGCTGCTATGAGCCTACAGATGGAATTTCCCTCATTCACTTGAAGTCTCTTCGGACCCACGTATGTTTGTGTACGTTTCTAGGTTAGTCTGTGCGGTTACCTGGAATGGTGAGGCAATAACAAATGCATTCATCGACCAGCTTTCGGCTTCATACCATCGGTTCACACTGTGTTTGTTATATTTCGCGTTTAATAGTAGAGATACAAAGTTCACAGTACTTTAAAGGTTTCACTGCACCTGTGGAATTTACTGTTGAATTTCTGAAACGTGACACCAGTTAGCCCATGTTCAAACACGCTTGGTTAAAACCGATTGATTCCCACTTACTTTGCCGCCTGGCCGAATGTTTGACGCTAGCTGGCACACGCGTGATCTCTCTAACAGTCCTCTCTCCTCGGTGTATCTGAAACCCGCATGTGTGCAGCTGGATTTTACTTGATTCCTGCTGTTACTATATTGCAGCCCCTACTACGAGAATGGCGGCAAATCTTAAGCGACAAAAGGATCAATTCCATTAACTGTCTAGCACTTGCTTCACACAATCAATCGCTATAATCACAAATGTGCTTACCTGACCCCGCAACCCAATACTCGCATCCTTGACCACGTTGGCTAAGATAAAGGCGTTCCATTTGATGCAGAGATCTGTGAAGTAGTAGGTTCAGCATACATTGGTAAAGCGTACATTTATAGTGGTTGCCATGAAATAATAAATCATATATAGCGCCGTACAGTTCGAAAGAACTGTGCAGCGTCATGCAGAATGTATGGTTCATTAACTTTGCAGGGTACTCTGTAGGAAATATCCCGACTTTCACTTTGAATGGTTGACGAACCGTTGTGGTGTGTATAGTCCAAATGTGTCCGCGCATTACCGGAGTATTGCAATTGTTATTAGTGTATCTGGGCTGCCACGGCATATGTAACTACTAGCTATAACTGGAACCATGAACTGTGTAAATCAAGAAATAATTCCCGAATAAGACGGAAGAAGCAAACGCTGGTAAACAAGCGTATTTTCAATGGTCCGACATCTGACTAATGTAGCCATAGCTGAAGGAGCTAGACGGTCACGTGACAATTAAACATAATGAATCATTGGATGTTATTGTCTACTCGATAGCCTACGTGGTTGCGTTGTACAGGGTAAAGTCAGAAAAGTGGCGACTTCACCTTGAAATAGAAACATCGGTTATATTGCGGTTGCTGAAATTTGCACCTTATCATACGTGAACATGATCAGTGACCTCATGGTTGGAAACTAAATTGGGCTGGGAGGTTCAGCGAAAAATCCTAAACCACTGTGTTGCTGCTCTTAGGATCGTTCGTGAACTAACGAAATCGCCTGTCCTGATTGGTCGGAGTGACTTCAGCTTGATGCTTTTGGTCTTACACGAACATTAATAAGTGCATTGTTTAATTTGTCGTGAAAAACTGTCCCAGGTTTAATGCCATGCAACTGTGAACTGAGGCTATCTGAGATCGCCCTCTTAACTCCATGCCTCCGTAAGTGACCGTGGTTGCTGGGCCCAGCATACACCCACCACACCTGAAGGTTACCTTTCACCAACGAGACTGTTCGAGTGAATGAGTGCTAAATAAGCAACAGATATGGAACACGTCTGAAACGACCGTTCATCTTACACAACATGTTTATGCAACCTATCCATCCTAAGCTTGCCTCTGGTGACATCCCGTTAGTCATATCTCACCAGATCTTAAATATCCCATCTAGATAAGGTGGTATACCCTTGGGGAGAAGACTTTTCGACTAAGTAAATTCATTCCTTATGAACGATGTGTGCACAGAGCAATCAAAATGTCACTGGATTCAGTACATCAGAAGGGCACATACAGAGGGGCAGAACGCCCTCACTGGATTGGATAAGTACGTTCCTCGCCCATTTGACCTACAAATGGGCGTCCAGCAATTCTTGAATCACCTGGGTGAATGGTCAAGCAATACAATGCTCGGTACAGGGATCAACTTATCCAGTTTTCAGAGTAACCTGGCGATCGTGTACACCCTAACCGCTCTACGACCCTTGACTAGCAAGTCCACACATAGCTAACGATCAGAGCTGCAAGCAGCCTCGTAGTTCTCTCAGGCGGCCCTATGGGGATCCACTTTGGCTCACCACACCATAAACGTAGGTTTTCCCAGCTCTCTCTTGACGAGATGCAGGTCTCAACCATGTGGAAGTGTGGAAAAGTCACTCCCATTTGCAAACTAGGCAATTGTGCAGTAGCAGTAAACTACCACCCGATTACTCTTCTCGCTGCCCTTGCTAACATCATCAAATCTGTTGTTCCAGTTTCACTTATAAGCTATTTAGAAAGTTGCCATCTCATCGTGCAGCAGCATCATGGGTTCCGCCAAAATGCACCCTTTTAGGTACATAAGACTTGTACTGCCTTGATTTGACTATGCACCACGAACCTTTTGTTAGCTCGTGCTAGCTTGGTGGAATATGTCAAGGCTGGAGAAGGTGGGTACGCCGCTTACCCTGAGTTCTTTAAGGCATTTGATCGCCTTGCTCACCGGGTACTTCTTCACAAGCTTTGGAGTTATGCGGTTGCTGACCCTATCCTAGGCTGGATTCATTCATTCCTACCCCAACGACGCCTGAGTGTGCTGGTTCGTAGCACACTGTCTGACCCAAAATTTGTTCACCGTGGCGTCCCTCAGGGCTTGATACTAGGACTAAGATTATTGCTCGTGTTCCTAAACGACCTTGCGGGCGTCTTGACGCCAAATTTTCTACTCTTTGCAGATGACCTTAGGATTTCGAGGACAAACAAAATAGCAGACGGCCAAATCGCTCGCACTGCAATGCGATCTCGACAGGACTTACGAGTGGTCGACCCAGAACAAGTTTGAGTTTAACATTGCCAAGTGTAAAATAATGAACATACGTCACCAGAGTACCTACCAATATCGATCGGGAGAACACTTCATGAAGTGCGCCCCTCATAACAGTGTTCTCGGGGTGCTCGTGCATGACCATCACGGATAAATAAAGCAGGCTAAAATGGTCGGGAAAAAGTCAGCCAAGACTTGGGTCTACTGCGGAGGGCGTTTGGCCGGTTTGATCCCACCTTATTTTCGCCAACTCTTAACGCTTATGTGGGACTGCACGTAGAATATGTCATTCAGGTGTGGCTCCCCTGGCAGAAAATTGACCTCACTGCTATTAAGAAGCCACACTGGATGTCAACAAAAGGATGAAGAGATTACTCCACCTCACTTATCAGTTGAGACTAAAAGATTTAGTGGTTTAGTGAAAAATATCGTTTACTGCGTGGTTATCTCTTATTTGAGTATCAGATCCTCAAATACTCTACTCACCCATGCCGACTATTATGGAAACTCGACCGCAGCAGCTAAACGATAGGCCACCATATGAACTTGGTGATAGAGTATAGTCGGTTGGAATCCAGCAGGAATATTTCCATATTGCGTGTCTCCCAGCCATAGAACTTACTTCAGCATTTTGTCGTCTCCGCTACTACGGTGTCCGAATTCAAAACTCGACTTCTGATGTATTACACAACCTACATTCCATGATTTAACCCAAGTTACTGGGACACGCAACAACGTAAGCAACTAATGTGTACACGTGGAATTTGCGGTAAGTCCACCACTACGCGCTTTTTTGTTTCAACACGCCTACTTTTGAATTATCTCTCAGATGACACAAAACACAATATTTAACGTTTTTCATCTAGACACATTGCTTACCACTGATTGTGCGCTTAGTTAGCCTGTAGGATTATCACCCACAAGTTGAAATTGAGGCCAGCTCAGCTAGGAATTATCAATACATCACACACGTGATTTAGTGGACGGCTTAGCGGCATCCACACACTACATCAAGTGTTCATGTAGTTGCGTAGTTTTTCTTCACCCAAGCGTTTTGAGAACAGATTGCCATATATTTTGTGCGGGGCACAAAACATAACACTTTAGGAATTTTGAATTCAGGTTTTTCTGTCTCCAATAACCAAATCTATTTCCACAGTAAGTGGTCAGGTGGGACAAACGTGTTGAGTAACTTGCACAAATGAGCTTGGGATAACCTTAAGCTAGAACATGAGATTCTGTGCTACTCCAAGCACGCTAGACACTATCTGCCGAACTGTCGCCAAAAAGTGAACCTTTAAAAAACAGTTTCGAATTTGTCGAATCAGTAGCTTGGCTTTAAGGGTCCAGGAAGATCTGATTTCTCTACAAACGCCCACTAGGGAGGGATATTTGTGAACTGTTTGTATGTGCCGTAACAGTGGCCGTATTCGAGAACCTACTGAATGTTGCATCAGAATAATCGCATTGGCATGCACAAATGAGGCTATGTGGTAATAAGAGCTACTTTGCTGCTTAGTGACCGTAATGTGTATCTTGCACGTCTAAAGGATGCACGGGTAAAAGCAGAGAGAAACATACTAATCCGAAAAGTTGCCGCACATATTCATGGTGCAAGCATACTGATCCTGTTAGAAGTTTATCTATCAACCTTATTCAATCGTAGTACGATGGTAAGGTATGGCACTGGTGCATATTTCGGGACGCGTTATGGGGCATACTCAAGCAATGCTATTGGGAGTACCTATGACAAGGAGAAGCCCCTTCCATATAAAGGCAAAAATTCATGTCAATAATAAATAACACAGGTGACCAGTGGGACTAATGAATGTCACGTTTAACCACAACTCAGTACAGGTAATTATCTAACATCCGATTTATAGCGGTAGGCCTTTAAATTTCTCTCCAGTTATTCTGAGCTGCTTACAGAAAGTACAGTAGACTCCATTTGTCCTACTAAATATCCCCATTACAATAGCCAATGATACTCAGTCAGGCAGCCAATGTACATTCGGAAATGAAATGGACAGCGATTCGGTCCACCTAACGCGCCCACTTAGCTTATAGTGACACTGAACTAAAGAAGAAGCCGCAAGAAAAACTGCTTTCTCGGGGACTAACGCTATACTTTACAAGTTGAAGCGTGTATAACAATGTAAAACGGGTTGCGATATGCAAAACCTAGTTGCCTAGTCAAGAAGACTTGCCTTTCATCCATCCTTCCAAGGATGCCTCGATGAACAACAGGTTTCCGCTTTGTGGAAGCATGATATCATCACTCCAATTTCCAGGAGCGATGGCCGTTTCTTTTCTGTAGACTATTGCCAATTGGCCCTTCTCCCTGTGCTCTCGAAAGTGATGGAAGCGGACATCGGTGAGGCGTTATTGGGCTACCTGGAGATATGCAACAACTTGTCACCAGAACAGCTTGGTTTGCACCAACACCGGTCATACACCGCCAACCTGCTGATCGTAGTTGGACTGAAGCGGCCGAGCATGGCGCTGGAATCAATGTCATCTGTCTGGACTTTCCAAACCTTTCCACCGCCTGGATCACCACCTCCCACTACACAAGCTGCAGATATGGAACTGAAGGTCGTACTCTTGGTTGGAGCAAGCGATTGACACGCCAACGGAAACTTTAAGTGAGTGATACGGTATCCTTCACGAACCGTATTCTGATGGAAATCAGTGTTCAACAGTGCTCAGTATTGGAACCGCGCTTTTTTCCCGGTGTTTATTAACAACATGGCAAGGGTTATCGCATCAAATTTCCTGATTTTTGTTGGGATGTTAACGTATGGCGAGCGATTAATATCAGTGAAGATCACAATTTTCCACAACATTAACTGGATTACGTTCGTGGGGGGTTAACGAAGAACCTACTCCAGTTTGATGCAGCAAAGTGCAGGGTGATTCACTTGCGTCGTTAGCCGGTGAGTGTAAAACATCAGTAATCATCTTGTAGAAGGCTTCTCATGAGCGTGATATTTGGGTGCTGGCCCAGCACGATCCAAACTGCTTGAAACAATCCGGGGAGGCGTTGAGAACCGGTAATCAAAACGTCAACTTTCTCTACAGAGCGTTCAGTCGGTATGACCCCTTAATCTTCCTACAAATGCTTAATGTTTATGTGCGACCGTACGTGGAATAAACCATCCAGACGTAGGGCCACTGGCAGAAACAAGATCTTGCCTTTCTTGAGAATCCCCCATAAAGTGCCTCTTTTAACTATCATATCAACTTGGATTGAAGTCCATGCGCATGTACGGAAGACCATGTCGTCGATTGTGGGGGGCTGAAGAATCTAAATCACATTTGTCGCCCATTACTGGAACTGAATCACAGCACTAAAAAAGAGCCTATAAGTTAAAACTGACAATACGTTAGAGACGGCTAAAATGCGAAAGAAATTTCGTCTGTTCTTGAGTGTGTCAGTTGTAGGATGCTCTCCCAACCTTGTTATCTCTGCCCCACCCTAACCATATTTACAAATAACGACAAAATATTGTCCGATCCGCATTTTATTTTACAACTTGTGCTAGTCAGTGGTTACAATACGCAAGCAAACCGAGTGTTACTAACAGTATAATCAACAGTAGTTGTGCATATTGCTTGTTAGCAACCCGACTCCTTTACGCGTGTCACATTGCATACACTCTGACCAGTTGTGTGAGACATAGATGAAATATTCGTCCACATGCCCGGAAAAGCACTAGGCTGCAGTTTCAGCTTGTTGGGCATCCTCAGTAGTACGCATCCATCGGATGCATCAGCATTCGAACCCATGACCATCAGTGGCTTGAACCGCCAGTCAGCAGGTTATGCCACTAGGCCAAGGGGGACAGCTTCGGACCGTCATGGCATAAGCTGCTGACTGGCGGTTCAAGCCGCTGCTGGTCATTGGTTTGAATCCTGATGGATCCAACGGATGCGCAATACTGACGATACCCAACAGGCTGGACCTGCAGTCTAGTGTTTTTCCCGGGCATGTGGATGACTATCTGATTTGGAAACTGGTTGCGGTGAACCTCCCTTAATTACAGCAAAATCCTCTACTCAGGAGTACATCAAAAACAGATGACATACGTCTCTGTAACTCCGTATCTTCAGTGTACAAAGCGTTCTGTTGGGTGCTTTAGAAGGGCTGTAGAATTTTAGCATCCTGCTTCTTCTAAGTGATCGCGCAAATGACTTAGATTACGCTGATAATATCGCCTCGTTGGGAAAAACTCACCAGGTGTACAAGTGATAGTTGACAAATCTGTGGTTGAAGCGTCTAGGTTTGGCAAGAATTTTACTCCCTGCAAATGTAATGCACTATTAAATGATTGGCAATCACCCTCTCCTCAGCTCACCAACAAAGACATACAGCCCGAACGCGTGGACAATTTTGTCTACCTGGGATCCACATCTCCACCGACGATAAAATTGAGGAGGAGCTATCCTCCCTGTCTGCTTTTACCAACCAGAGGCAATATTGGTTCCCAGGATATATATATATATATATCATGTATATATAATGTTTGCTCCTCTAGATTTTTTCCATGTTACGGGACCTAAGCAGCATTACTTGTACCTGTAAGACATCATGGCTTCATTATGGTCCATTGCTCTTGGCGTAAAGCGAGAACGAAGCGTCGCGTTATCTAACGCTTCAGTGGGTGGGTGGAACACATACAAGGTTGTCTACTGTTTTCCATACGTTCAACTGGGGTTTTATCAAGTGTTGCCGGGATAAGGCACCATTACAGTCAACACAAACCCCTCTCTTGTAGCTCCTTAAACCTCTCCGAACTTTCTGTAATGAATCCCATACCTTCCCAGTTGATACCAGCACGTGTTCTCACACCACAGGTCGAATGACAGTGTGACAAATGCATGTGTCTCACTTTTTTGAGGACCATCGTCAATGTCAGCGCCAACGAAGTCCTTTGCGTTTATATTCACGTTGCTGACATTCACATCACATTCTGCTCCGTGCCTCGAGATCCGATGTCCTTCCGGGCGCAGTACTACAACGGGATAGTAAATATGAGAGCTAAGAGTGCCCCTGTTGGCGTGAGCAATATAACTTGGCCGTACACAAATACAGGTGAGATGATTGGAGAAATCACTTATTTTCAAACGACAACAATACGGCCGCTGATTGCTCACTTGTGCTATCAGGCAACATTGATAGATGCCCCAGAAAATTAGGGTATGAACAATCTCGAGACAAATACGCAATGCAATACAACAAATAACATTTTATGCGAGGAAAAAAGCAGGTAGAATTCAACAGCTGCGAAGGCTATTATTTGAACGCATCAGCAGAACGGGACGAAAACCTTCAGCACTAATCAGAAACTATTGCATAAGCACGCCGGCGGTCTATTGAAGGTGCGGCCAGAAGTTCCGCCACTCACAACGGCTGACGCCCCAACAAGAACAGACACGGAAGCAGTAAACGCGCTGCGGATGTAATATGCCCCATCTTTCAATGGGTATTACCAACAGCGGATCCTTCAACTATTATCGCCCCGTTTCCGGGACTAAAACATATCTCCTTTATCAACGAAGCTGTTTTGCAGAAGCTGATCACTCTACTCAAGCACAAATCCCGGGGTGTCAATATTATTTGCCCAGAGGCACTGGGAGCAGCAGCAAATCAACTGGCAGAGCCACTGGCTCAGTTCTCCCAGCGCGACTTAGAGGAGAAGCAAGTTCGTGCCTTGTAGAAGCTTGTAATAATAACACCCATTCACAAAGGTGGAAGCACAACTGAAACTTCTAACTAACGTCCAGTTTCCCTTCTCCCTATACTGTCCAAGTTGAGGGAATCCATCATAGCCGATGCGTTGGTGGGCCATTTGGAAAACTCTAACATTGTTATTTTTGAGCAGCACAGCTTTTGTCGAAACCGACCGTGCACAATGTATTTGCTACTAGCACGGAGTAGCTGGATGCAGTCAGTTTACGCTGGGGAGGATGTTGATGTGATCTACCTGGGTTTCTCGAAGCCATTCGACCATTTAGATTATCGGCTATTCCTTTCCAAGCTACAACGTCTTCTAAGCTGGATGGCCAACTATCTTCTTCAGTGGTAATTCGTGGTCAGAGTTCGGAACTCCTTCGCTGCCCCTATACCAGTTGAATGTAGCGTGCCTGAAGTTGCTAGGTCCCCGATAGTTTTTGGTAGTTATCAATAACCTCGCACAGGCAATTACATCTAACTTTCTGCTGTTTGCCATGGACGTCAAGATTTGGCGCAAGGTCCAAGGGAATACTGATTAGCAACTGCTTTAGAGTGATCTAGACACGGTACATCAGTAGTCCACCCAAAATTCAATGCAATTCAATGTGAGTAAATGCAAGCTGCTCTCCATACGACACCAGAGTAACCACAGTTATAGGCTCGGAAATCATGTGCTGCAGCGAACTGCTACCGAACGTTATTTGGGTGTACTGATTCAGGATGATCTGAGTTGTTCCAGGCCATCAGTGAAAGCCTGCAAAACTGGTGACCAAAATGTGGGACTATTGCGACGGGCGTTCGGACCAATAGATCGCACATTTTACCGGCAGATGCTTAGTCAGTCTGTTCGTCCCCATGTCGAAAATGCAACTCAAGGCTGACACCCATGGCTAAAACACGACCTTAGTGAATTGGAGCAGCCCTAACTTCGAGCATGAAAGTGCATTATTGGAATGTACCATCTTCCATAGGAGGAGAGGCTGGAACGATTTGGGGTATTCAGCGGACGTTACCGCCGTGTACGAGGTGACCTGATAATGGCGTACTTAATTCTGCACGATCCATATCATGTGGGCCATTCTTTACTGCAGTAGTACCGACTTGAGAGATCACTCAGTAAAACTGTCAGAAAAGTACAGCAGCCTGGAATGCCGCAGGAACTTCTTTTCCGACCGCGTGAACAATGAACAATGAACAATGATTTATAACGGGTAAAAAAGCAGGTGCTTGACATGTCCCGTAAGGTGTTTAGCGTAACAAAAAGAAGATAGCGAAGGGATAATGGAGTCGTCAGTTCAGGCGCTTACAGATGTAACTGCACTGTCGTATAAATGGAGTTTGAAATGAGAATGTACGCACACAATACAACAGGAGAGTGGTTTTTGTTCACATCATAGGCGAGAAAAATAATAAGCATAGCAAGGACAACGCTTACTCGTGTGCAACTATCTTGGGTCGACAGGATACAGAAATCCAGTTTCTATAGTAGTAACGTTTATCATATTTCGTGCAATGGGTTGGGAGTGACTCATTCTCGAGTAGGGCTATGGCACTATCCACTGTCTGTTGTGCATTAGTGACAGCATCTGGTAGTCATGAGCTATAGCACGTTGTGTAAATGTGACAGGGTATCGTCAAGGGGTTTTTTGAAAATGGATAGGGTGGGTGCATTAATTACATATAAAAGGAGGGCGTTCCAAGGCTGTGCCACTCAAAGGGAGAAATAGTTTCGCCGACATTCCAGGCGGCTGTGCTGCGTGACTAACTTAAACGGGTGACCTCTTAGTGAGGTGTTTTTACTGAGTGTTAGCAGGGAATGACATGGGTGGTTGGGGTTTCTCAGGATCTGGTACAGCATTATGAGATCACCCATTAGACGCCGATAACGTCCACTGTATATTTGGAGGATCTTCAGCCTGAGTGCGTAGAGAAGGCTGATCAAACCTATGACCCTCTTCGTTGCCCTACGTTGTGCAATTTCGAGCGCGGTGAGATGGTGCTTGAGCCAGGGTTGCCACGCTTGAATAGCGTATTCCGCGTGTGGCCTCACGTACGCATTAAGCACTTTTGGAAAGATTGAAGGGTCTAACATCCCGAAAGCTTTGCGAAGAAGACCGAGGTACTAGTTCGCTTTCTTAGCTGCCTCTTCATTCTGCCTGGAACAACCGAGGTCATCTTGAACTAGCATGCCGAGATCGCACTCGTGAGAAGTCCACTGTAGAATTTGTGGTCCTAGGCGGTATTTGTGCATACTCTTGTGCCGTATACTGAGAACTTTGCACTTGAAGACGTTGAAATGCAGCATGTTCTCGATGGACCATGTGTACGCTTTGTCCAGGTCCTCCTGTAACACTGTGTGATCCTCCACTGCAGCTATAGTACGCCATACCTTTAGGTCATCAGCAAATAGCAAACAGTGAGAAGATAACACACTCGCGAGGTCTTATATGAAGACCAGCAACAGGCGGGGTCCAAGTACCGAGCCCTGAGGTACGCCGCACTGAACTTCGATGGATTCTGATAGGTTGCTTCTAACCCGCACATTCAGGTGACGTTGCAAGAGAAAGTCTCCTATCCAGCCCAGAACAGGATCGCCGATTCCATATTTCTGAAGTTTGTGGACTAGAATGTGGTGGTCTAAACGGTCGAATGCCTTTGAGAAATCAAATAAGCCGCGTCGACTCCTTCACCAGCGTTCACAGATTTCGTCTATTTTGCACGAGCAATCAAGGGATTAGTGGTACTGGACTGATTTTGATGAAATCCATGCTGTTCCGGAACGAGAATTTTGTTGTTCTCAAGTACCCTATCAAAGCCTCAGCTACAACGGAATCCATAGCCTTGGTGATCACAGGAAATAGTGTTATCGAGCGATAATTTGTTGGTTCAGCACGGCTGCCATTTCTGTAGATTAACGTGATGATGCCGTGCTTCCACATCATGGGGACGTACATCTCGTTCAAACATCGTTGAAAGAAAATTGCTAATGGTCCTGCCAAACTCATGGCAGCAACTGTCAACGCCTTCGGGCGAATGCCGTCTGCACTCGAGGAGCTGAACTCGCGCAGAGACGTCAGCCTCTACAGTACAGCTGCGAAGGTAAACGATATGTGATTAAGCCCTGATGGCGGCGTTATCTGCTTAGGCAGGATATATGGTGATTGCGCGCTTTGGAAGGTACGGCCAAATTGTTGTCCAAGAACGTTGGCCGCCTCTTGTGCGGTTTGGGCTAACCCGCATGCTGTGTGCAGAGCAGGAATACCGCGCTTAACACGGCGCAAATTGTTTACGTGTCTGTATAGCAGTTTGGGATTGGAGCCCAACTTTTCCACTGGACCTTGTTGGTTCTTCAGTTTATCCTCCCGGACGAGTTTGACACAGAGGTTCCTTTGGATTGTGTAGACATCCCAGGTATGGTCGTTCGGGGAGGCTATATATGTGTGTCATGCAAAGTCCCTTAATGCCACGCACTTACGTGTGCTGCTCCTTACGAAAGACTTCATCCTTTTAGGCCGGTAGAGTTAGGTTTCAGATGTCCTTGCCACGAGCTTGGTAAATATGTTGACGAATTCACCGCAGGCCACCTCGGGGGTTAATTAAGCTAAGAACGACCAGCTGGTTGCATCAATGAGGTCGGACAGGTCTTCATATTTGGTTACGACACGATATTTCTCGGCATGCTCTTTACGATAATCCGCCTAGCACATGTAGTGAAATACTAGCGTCGCATGATCGCTGCGGTCTAGAGGAGTATCGGTTATTACTCTCTCGACCATTAATTCTTCATTGGTGAATATTCGGTCCAACAAGGATGGCCTGTCAGTTCCCCTGAATCTGGTGGGCGTAGTGACGTGGCCATAAAGCGGGAAGTCTTAAACCAGATCTTGCAAATCTGCTTTGAATTGCTCTCCTGGTGTGGCCTGGGATTCGAGGGCATGTAAGTTGAAGTCACCGGTGACTAGAATGTGACTGTACTTCCTCTTTATAACTTTCCTCAACGCAGCCATCAAATTGTAGTCCAACTCAGGAGTGGACGATGGTGGGGGTAAACAACAACCAGTAGGCCAAGATCGTTCTCTCTTAGCCGGAAATTACACCAAATAAAGTCAGGTAAGTCAGTTTCCGAATCGTTTATGAGTTCGCATTGCATGTTGTTACGAAAATAAAGGGCTACCCCACCACCTTTGCTGGTTTGATCCTTCCGGACAACTTACATGCCTGTTAGTGCAATTTCAGCATCCGTTATCTCGCAGCGCATCCACTTTTCGGTGATAGCGA